CTTTCAATTATTCGTCATTGACATATTGATTCAATTATTAGGACAAAAAAAATTTGAACTCGGAATCTGTTACTACTTTAGAAGAAAAGTATCGTTATGTTTTCATATTTACAAGCTAGCAAACTAGCGGGTAATTTATTATTCGTCATTAACGTGTCAATTCAATTTAGTCATGTGTTTAATAATGAAAAACTTGATATGAATTGTTATCAATTTTTTAACACAGTAATTAGTGGGCTGATAATTGTTTTACTTCAACATGACGTTATAATTTCATTTGTAAGTGGTCTTCAAAACGACTTTCGTTCCCTCTTTCTTTGTTGGTTTGCATGATGCGGATGGGCTTGTAAGTTTTTCATGGGATTGGACAAGTACAAGGTGGCATTATTTGATGGGATAATGTTAGTGATATTTGTATTGGCGATATTTGTGGACTGTTGGTGACATTTGTTCAAAGTTGGGATATGATGATATTGTTAGTTGACAAGTGTCTTACAATCATTGGTTGAATGTTATGGTTGTTAGTTGATGATTAGTTGGGAAAATATCATGTAACTAGTGGCAGAGTCAGGAATTTAAAACAATGAGCTCAAAAACTAGCTTTCAATCATTTTGTCACTTACTAGGTTGCTATGCTCTTCTTGAATTCTTTGTTCCGTGGTTGCATCTTGCTGAGAGCCCTCTTGTCTCGCGTCTTCGTACTCTTGCTCGGCTTTGCCTGCGCAGGTTGATCGGTGACAGAACACCCATTGGCAGATCCATAAAGGGATTTGGGAGGTCCCGGGACCTTTCGGAAGCTCAAAGAAACACTTGTGATCGATCTTCAGGACCTTCCAACAATTTGGGCAGGTGAAGTGGAGAGGCTTGTTGCCTCCAATGGATGTGCAGGCAGCAGTGCTTATAACAATGAAGAATAATAGGTTTTTAATTTTTGTTTTAAAAGACCTAGCCAAATCGATAGTGTTTTTGAGTCAGGTCGTTATAAAAAATTTAAAAACTAAAATATCTTTGTTTTCTCTATAGAGCCCGAGAACCTTGGTCTTTTCTAGTATCTCCAAATTAAATTTAAGAACTCCTAGCCCCAATCGTCGCGACCTTCCAACTTTAAACCCAAGTTACCCTATTCCCCACCACCATTTGCCCTTCCACCGCCTTTAGCTGTCTAATTTTATTTCTTCCAAATTCATATAAGTTTTTTAATCCTAGACTCTAGTCGTAACTCCCAATTAATAATATATATGTTACATTAACAAATTTTATCTTTGTAGAGTCACTAATTGCGTTATGTTGCTTAGGAGAATTTGTTTGTTTTATTACCTTTGAGATTAATCTTGATTTATTCAATGTACCAAATTCAGTAAAAAAAATAGTGATACGAAACCAAATTAGTCTAATATTTTTTTTCTTTTTTTGAGCTTTTATGTTGTGACCCCCCCGAGCTTGAAATCCTAGATCCGCCACTGAGAACACCAGCTATGGCCTTCACTAAAGTGTCAAGTTTACTTTTCTCGTTCTCCTTACTAGCACTATAGCCTATCGAAGCAAGTTCTGCAACATGTTTTTCTTTAAGATTAGCAGAAAGCCAAGTAATCTCTTCCTCCACCTGCTTTTTCTTAGCTTTTTGTTCAGCCTTGCTCCCTTTGGCAGCTGCCTTTTTCATTTCAGTTTCCTTGTCCTGAAGTTTTGATATCTCTTTCCTGTATAAGCAAACATGCCGTCAACGGGGAATGACATGAATGATCTATGGGAAAGTTAACATAGTAGAACTAACAGTTTTAAGGCACCAGCCTCAATGAAGCTACAACAAATCCTCATTCTTAGATCTGGTTTGGTACTGAGGTGATTCTGAAAAAAGCTGTTAACAAAAAAAGCTGGGAGCTGTTTTTGTGTTTGGTAAACACTCAGCTTCAGCTTTTTTTCACAATTTTGGATGAAAAAAAGCCAAAAACAAGAAGCTGCAAAACCTAACTTTGAAAAACCGACTTTTTTTCACATCTGTTTTACATAAAAGTTTACCAAACACTCTAATATTGTTTTTTTTTTTTTTCAAAAGCACTTTTACAAAAAAGTTTACCAAACACTTTGCTACTTTATTTCACAGTTGCTTATTCTCACAACACAACAGAAGCAGCTTTTTTTCAAAGCACAGCAACACCAAACCAGCCCTTATTCTCAACCACTTCTTGGAGAGCATGAAAACGTCTTATGCATGTCATGGTCAAAACAAATACTACCAATAAAATCACATGGTTTCAAATATCTTGAAGATAAGTTTTCAAATTAGACGACCGCAAGTGCGTTTGCGTTTGATTACAAATTTACCCTGTAGATTTAAGAGTTAATCTTACTTGCTTTACCAATGGAACCACCAGCCAAATACAACATCACAAGAAAATCTAAAACAGAAGAACCAATAATGCAGATTTGATAAGAAAATCCCAGCATGACCCAACATCTAAAATCAAAGCAGAAACTAAGAAATATTTCAATACTACACCCAATCAAATCACAAAAATTAACACCAACTATACAAGGAACTTCATTAAAGTCCAATGAATAATTTTACCATAGACAAAAGTACAACATAATAATCCCAATTGAGATAATCCAAGATTAAGATTTCAAATTTAACATTCTTTGAAAAAAAAACCCTACATTTAGACTCTGTAAACAAATAAATAATGAAATTTTAGACAAGAGAAGCTTACCAGAGGAAGGACGCCGAGCAAGGAGAACGCGACTGGAGAAAAGGAGAGATCGCTGGGAGGAAGGATGGCTTCTTTCAAATCTGGTGTGGACTGAGTGAAACTGGCTTCTTTCATTAAAGGGGTCAAATTTTTTTTTTTTAAAGGGATAAGTTACAAATCTATTGGGATCAAGGGAGCCCAATGTCCCCGCATTGGCTCCACCACTGCGTGTAACTGCCTTAGCTTGCAATCTGGTATAAGTACTGGATATTTGTGCAAATGCAAGGTTATGATTTGTAACAGAAGTTTGTTAGTAATACAAAAGGAAATTATCAGCATATAAGTGAAGGTTAGAACAAGGGTTCTATTATTATTTATGTATTTATTTTCCTTTTTTATTTTTGTTCAAAAGTATTTTTTTATAAATGTTTTTCAAATGAGAGAGACAAATTGGATTTGGCGAAACTGGGGAGAATTTGTGGTTAAGAAATTAGGGTTAAGGAGTCGGATGAATTATTTTCTATTTAAGAACCATAAGTTAAGAGAATAGTTACTAACACTCTAAAAAATTTATTCTGTAAACAAAAAAAGGATTAGTACTCCAAAAAATTTTGATTTAAGAACTATAAATTAAGGAAATAGTTACTAGTACTCTAAACAGAAAAAAGTAAACACAGTTGAACTTTTTTAAATAGATAAAAGTCATGCAGAAAATAATTCAAAAACTGAAGTAAAAGCACTATTAGATTAAGTCATTATTGTCATGATTAACCATAAATGGATTGTATATGAAGTGTAAAATAGATTTTGTTAGGAAATAGTATTGGTTAATGAAGTAAATAAATAAAAAACATACATGGGCTAATAGTAAGATGAATACAAAAATAAATGAAATATAGGGAATAATTGGTTTGTACCCACAAGAGCTACCCAGGCTATAGCTAGACCTATAAACGGGTCGGGTTCAATCTGACCTATTAATTTAACGGATCATTCAAACCTAACCTGTTAAACTAACGGATTATCTGAACCCCAACCCGTTTCACCTGTTAACAATTTTTTATGACTTAGCTTTTTCAGGTTTTTCTTACCAAACCTCCGTTGAAGACAGCTTTTTTTTAAAACACAACACTAGATAAACAAAAATGATTCCTAAGGCCCCCTACTTTACGTTTGATAACTATTTCGTTTTCATTTTTCACCTTTTTGAAAATTAAAATCTTGTTTGATAACTACTTTTAGTTAAAAAAAAAAAAAAAAGTGAAAACTTAAGGCCAAATTTAAAAAACTGAAAATAGTTATCAAACAAGAGTTCATTTTTAATTTTAAATTATTAATTAATTAATACAAGAATATATGAGTAATATTGCATTTTCTCTTTGGGATGAATATATGAGTAATATTGCATTTTCTCTTTGGGATGAACTAATTTCTCTACTTTCTAATAATGTATCTTCACTGTAGAATTTTATAATCGAATAATAAAACTTTGCAAGTGGCCCTTTACCACAATGGTGGAAATGTGTTGAGCCCTTGCATGATAGCGTGAGTTCAAATCCTATCGGTAACTAATCTAACAAAATCTATCGTTTGACAAAAGAAAAAAATAAATAAATAAAACTTTTTAATATTTATTTCAAGATCATCTATATAAAAAAATCATTCAAATCGAAGATCATTTAGTTATCCAAATGTATCAATTCAAAGATGTAGATATCGAGTAATATATTCATAATGAACTGCTAATTTAATTAAAGTTTGATTAGTGGTTATCAAAGGGCCCTTTAGAATACCATTAGGAACAATCGGTTAGGTCAACACACTGAAGTTGAGAGTAAAAAGGCTCCAGCGTGAATGATGAGGCCAACCCAAGAGAGCTCTGCCTTGTCGTTGCAGTCAATCTCTGGCGGACGCAACCTCAAATCTTTCTTCATTCCAAAGCTTGAAGCTTTAGCGTGTCACTTTGCATAGAGCCATGTTCTACTCAATTATTGTTTACGTGGTGAAGTGAATTGTGTTTATTCTGTTTTTGCATCATTAGAGCATATTCCATAGATATAGCTTTTATTCAATTAGGGCGAATGCCTTCTGCTTTTTATTCTCAAATTAGGGATGACCATTCGACTCAGAACCTGCACGAATATAGGCTTCGCGTTTTGATCAATCCGCGAGCTTGGCACGAACAAAACACAGATGTACATGGTTAAACCCGAACAAGATCCATTGCCACCCGTTTAGAGAGGAAAGAGACAACGATATGTATTCAAACAAAGTAAATGAAAAAGAAACAGGTAATGATATAATCAGAAAGAATTGAGGAAGAAGAGTTTAGACATTGCTGCTTCAATTAGATTCTATTATTAATTCTTATGTACACAAAATATGAATGAATTTTATGACGTCACAGTCGGATTAACTAATGTAAGTGTAGGTTTTAAATTTCTACATATCTACAACTTACTGCTCCTAAGCTGTCTTAACTTTGTTTCTCACATGAGTTGTTTGGATCTGCGGCGGCATCTGAACCCTCGAATTTGCAGTCTGTTCGTAATGCTGACAACCACGAGTCCACCTGAAAAAAAGAGGGAAGTTAATCGTACGATTGATTATACGGAATGAGACAATTTGGATCTAAGAAAAACGAAGGCAAGAAATCAACATAGAATGCAGGCGTAGCTTTAAGAACACTACACCGCAAAACAAAAATAGCTCGCTTACCTGTTCCTTAGAAGCGCTTGAGCACTCGAATCGCAGTCCTTGACGAGTTAATATACAAAATGCATGTCGAGTTCCTTCATCGTCTCGTGTAATGCTTGGCAAGGGGCCTATTTCAACAATATCAGCTAAGAGGGTGGAGTCTTGAGGACTCAAATCTGGAAGAAGAAAGAGCCCATCGGTCAGAATATGTTCAAGTCCGTATGGGGAGAATGGCGCTAGGACATCGGGGGATAATGATTCATTGAATATTTACCTGTGGAAAACAAGAAGAAGAAAATGCACGGCCCTTGCAAGACAACAAAGCGAGGAAGCCAGTCATCAACGTCAGTATCATCAAGAGGGGGAGGTTCTCCTGGTAGTGGTTTCCACCTCTATCAAATCGAAAAGAGAAAGTATAAGCAAACCGTAATTAGCATTATGCAGTATGCACTAAATACATGCTCAAAGTAAAAAAATTGACTTGGGGTCGTCATTACAGTTCGGATGTACAAATAGCCAGCGAGACGAGCAGATCGCAAAACTTCATCAACGTGTTCCAATCTGCATAAAACATAAGCAGTTCATGATTGATATGACGAGGACAGAATTTCAGTTCAAAGCCTATCCTAAAAGGGAAACAAATTCTGGTCCAATACCACAAAGTAATATAAGACCTCAGTTAAAAACTGAAAAAGTTCAAAAGCATTGTAAGTGGCAGTATCATGTAGTGTGCAGAGACGCAATTCACATTTTAATGTTTAAAGTATCAAGTTCCCTTACTGAGCTTTCAAGTGCGCTTCCTTCTGTTCTAAATCAGCAAGCTCCGATCGAAGTGATTCTAGTTCTACAGCAGTTAGCTCAACCTGAACAATTCTAGCGGTTAGGAACGTGGAAATTACACAAGACTCAATTGAGCAACTGAAAGAGATACTGAATCAACCTTTTCTTCGCCATCTGCGCTAGACCCCCATGGCAGTCCGCGGAGACTAAAGAAGTTCAATTTCAACATGTATGCTGCACTTCTTAATTTTCTCCTACTCCACAAGCGAGACCTATGCTATACCAGATTAAGTAAAGTGAATTAAAATCATACAATCTTTTAATTTGAATGACAAAACTCCTTGATTTTTTCTTTTGTTCTTTTATTTTCTCCAAAGAAAAAGAAATACCTTGGATACTTATCAGTTCTTGGTCGCGAGATAGATGAAGCTATGTCCTGAGAAGAGTCGATATTGGGTTCAGATGCTTTAAAATGATCTCCTATGATCTTTATATTTCCAAGACGATCATCCATGAAGCTCAATTACACTTCTAGAAGCGAGTGCAAACCTATGTTCATACCATGTTAATAAGAATCGATGATCAATACGTATAGAATAACAGACTGCAAATTAGCATACAATAACTTATTCATCCAACCACACCATCATATACATACACAGGTGCTATGAAGACCAATTGCAGAGAAATATGGTTGTGGATCTCATGTAATCAACTATGCTGTGAAATGGGAATCCTAGTTTTCGATCATAGAGGCTAGAAATAAGTTATGTTGCTGATATATCAGTAATTTAGTACTGGGATACAACTCGGCCCGAATCAACAACGCCTCATAAAAATTTAACACCTACTTCGAATCAAAAAACAAATCTTTCCTTCGCCTTCTGATCCGGCATCAACCTTACCAACAGGAAACAGCTATGCTCTTGCACTTCTAATACAACCACCCAAAAAGCTGTTCTCATCACTCAAACTAAATTACATGAGATCCACCAAAAGCTGAGACATCAAAACATTGGGGAAAAGAACAAGCAGCAAAACATACATGATTTAAAGGGCAGAAAAACACAACCAACCGGAATCTGCTAATTTGCATACACTAATTCTAATTAAAAGAAGCTTCATAATCCAAATAAATCTAATTAAAATTCCTCAAAATACACACACACACACACACACAAGATTAAAACTTACATGAATTTCATACAGCACACACCACCAAGCAAATTGCAGCATAAAAACAAAGAAATACTTTGGACAGAGATAAATGATTAAATTAAATTATTAAATAAACTAAAAGAGATGGGGAGAGAGATGGAATCGTACCCGTACAAGGAAAGAGAGAATTACAGGAAGACAAGGAAGGAGGGTCCTTGTGTTCATGGGAAAACGTTTGACCCCATTCGATGTTGACTATTTGGTATAAGTAGTTCAGCTTTAGATGTGATATGACTGTTTTACCCCCGCCGGGACCATGTTCCACTTGGTTACGTATGAGGGAATTTTGCGTGCTTATATTTTTATATTTATTTATTTTTTCGCTTGATTTGCTAATTGGATAGATAAACACAACCTTAATGATGATTATGCCCCAAACTTTGTAATTATAATGTCTCAATTGTGATTATCCACCAAGCGGTTGGTGGATACTTTCTTGTATATTCGATAATCAAATCCCAAGCATTTGTTATTTTTCTTCTTCCATGAAACCCATTGTTTATTGTCTTTGCTTGTGCTTGAACTCCTCACTATAATGTTAGACTCGTTTGAAAATATTTTTAAAATGACTACACATTTTTAAAGAAAATATTTTCGAGTTCCAAATGTACTTAAAATGCTTTCAGGATTCACTTGCATATTTATTAAGAATATCTTCTAAAATTTTTTTCATCAAAAACGCTTTTAGTTGTTTTAAATGCATTTCAAAGCGAGCCGGTTATGTCGCTGAACTATTACTTATAAAACGTTGATTATTTTAAAATTAATACGTGTTAATTAGTAAACATGAAATAATGAAATCATTTGGAGGCCTCACTCACAACCATCGAGATTGGATGGCACATTAGACTCCACCACTGCATCATCTATACACTTTACACGACCTCTTCGCACTAACTTCTTCCACTGCATCAACTACATGCATGGAAGAAGCACTGGCTATCACCAAATTGGTAATGTAACATCACCAAAATGATGACGAAACATATGATGATGAAGCCAAAGGTAATATACTAAATTTATCCTCCAAGTCATGAGAAGAGATCTTCTCTAAATCTTTTTCACCAAGACTACCAAATCAAGTGATCCAGGCTTCTGAAATTTCATCCAACAACCCACCTATTTTGACCCCTTAAAAACTATAATAATTTTTGACCGTTGGATGAAATTTCAAATGTCCAGATCATTTGATCCAATGGCCTTAATGGATATACTAGGGTTCAACTCCATTATTATCCCATGAGGTTAGCCTTGTTTCTTTGGGCCACATATTTTTTTGGGTTTGAATTTTATTGGATAATATCTACCAAGCCCAAGCCCAAGATGTTACGACCGTACCTTACGCTCTCTGCATGAGGAAACTTTCCTATTGCCAGCAGGGTTGGTTTAGAGATTTTTGCGGGCCAGGACGACGTCAAAAAATGTGCCATCACTTTATATAAGAAAATTCTTTGTTTTCACACGTAAGACATCGATACAATTATACTTAGAAAAAAACTTCAAGTTTAATAATTTAGAAACACATAAAAACTAATTTATTTTGTATCGTGAGAATGAAACAAAAAACTCCGGGTTTACAAGTAGATAGATATGAGTTTTGTTTTCCATCTGAACTTTTAAAGTATTTTTGTATAAATCGTGAGGTGTTTTTTCTTATTTACTAACCTTGTCAATATGGGACTAAAACAATAATGATGTTTTTGAGTCTTTAATTGATATGTATAAGTAATAAATGGGTACTAAATTAAACATTTTGATGATATGTCATATGATTTGCAAATTTGGTATAAAAATTTGGTCAACGCATTACTCTTTGTTGAAGATTAGATTTGAATTGAAACAAATGTTTTAAAATAATAACTACATGGCTACTAGTTGCTAATTAAAAATAAGGGTAAAGTACAAAAAACTACCTCAACTATTGGTATCACGACACTTTCATACCTCATCTTTTAAAATTGACAATGTCATACCTCATCTTACGAATTTGTGTCAATGTTATACCTTCCGTTAGCTTGGCCGTTTATTTCTCAGTTAAATGCTGACGTGGCTTGATCCGGAACCCATTTTTATTTAAAAAATTAATAAAAAATTATTAAAAACAAAAAAAATTATTTAATATTATTAAAATATTAAAATAATAATAAAAAAGTACATAAAAAATAAAAAAAAAACCTCTCCTTTCGTGCATCTCCCCTCTCTCTCTCTCTTCCCCACCATCTTCCTTCAACCCAGAAAAGAAGAAGACGAAGAAGAAGAAGAAGAAGAAGAGAAAAAAAAAAAAAAACCCAAACCAAACCAAACCCAGTTCATCCCCCCAACCCCCTGCAACCTAGAAAGGAGGAGGAAGAAGAAGGAAAAAAAAAAAAACCCCAACCTAACCCGAAGGAGGAAGAAGAAAAAGGAAGAAGAAGAAGAAAGAAAGAAGAAGAGGAAGAAGAAGAGGGGAAACCCCCCCTCCCCCCCCCCCCCACCCACCCAACTTGCTGAAGAAGAAGAAGAAGAAGAAGAAGAAGAAGAGGGAAGCAAAAGAAGAGAGAAGAAAAGAAAAAAAAAAACAATAGGAAACCCATCCCCCCCTCACCCACCCACCCAACTTGCAGAAGAAGAAGAAGAGGGAAGAAAAAAAAACAATACCTAGTTCGTTCGTCCCCCCTCCCCCCCCCCCCCCCCCCCCCCCCAACCCACCCACCCACCCAACCTGCAGAAGAAGAAGAAGAAGAAGAAGAAGAAGAAGAGAGAGAGAGAGAGAGAGAGAGAGAGAGAAAAAAAAAAAAAAAAGAACAACGGGAAACCCGTCCCCCCCATCCCACCCAATCTGCTGAAGAAGAAGAAGAAGAAGAGGGAAGCAGAAGAAGAGAGAAGAAAAGAAAAAGGAAAAAAAAAAACAATGGAAACCCCCCCCCCCCCATTTTTCTCCTCACCTAGGAGAATAGGTTTGGCGAAGGTTTCCTAATTCCACCTCAATGAGATCTGGGTTTTTTTTTTCCTCTTCTTTTTTTCTGGGTTGCAGTTGCAGAAAGGGGAAGAAGATGAAGATGGGGAGAAGGGAGAGAAGGGGGGAAGGGACGAATTGATGTTGGGTTTTTTTTTTTATTTTTATTTAATAACTTTTCTTTATTATTTTAATATTTAAAAAAATATTAAATGATGTTTTTTAGTTTTTAATAATTTTTTTAATAAAAAATGGGTTCCAGATCAAGCCACGTCAGCATTTAACTAAGAAATAAACGGCCAAGCTAACGGAAGGTATAACATTGACACAAATTTGTAAGATGAGGTATGACATTGTCAATTTTAAAAAATGAGGTATGAAAGTGTCGTGACATCAATAGTTGAGGTAATTTTTTGTACTTTACCCTAAAAATAAATTAACAACCAAACAAAAATTCATAAAAATTGAAAAGAATAAACATGCACTTAGTATTTCGAACTTAGGACCTCTCTTAATTTTAAACAACAAAAACTATTGATTCTAATTAAACTTCTTGATCGTTTAGCCAAATTTTATATATTTATACTCTTATGAAAAGAAATTTGTAAAAATTAAAAAGTAAATAAGCACACATGATGTTTTGAACTCAAGACCTCTTCATTAATTTCAAACAACAAACCCACTAATTCTAGTTAAATTTCTTTGTCATTGAACCAAATTGCATAAATTTATACTGTTATGAAAATGTATATAAATATACTACCCTAATAATTTTGGTGCCGTCAATTATTTTGGGCCCTGGACGGTCGCCCTGCTAGCAAGCCTGGGCCGGCCCTGATTACTAGTTGAATATAATCATATTATTGTTTCTCTAAACGAGAAAAACTTGTGTGGAGTGCCCCTGCTGACATTATCTTTATGACACCTCTAAAAAATGTCTGACGCCCCTGCATTTTCATCCTAATCGACCTCACAGTCTCACAGCGATATGAGAGTTACCCTTTCTATCGGACTTATAAACCTTCTCTTAACATATGACTATTCATGTGGTGAGAAAAATATCATCTACAAGGGTCAAACCTAAGATCTCATGTAGTTCTATTTACACTTTGAGAAGAATACTTTTAAATCGTAATGTTATTGTGAGTGAAAATGTGTGCACATTAAACATTTAATACCCTTCCAAATTTCCAATGTATGAATGAGTTTGGCATGGCACGTGTGGGCTTTTATCGCAGATGAATATCAACATCAATATGGTTGGGAAAGATAGGATCACAGCAAAATAATCCAACAGGGATCTCTTTGTGGCCACAAATTACAAACGTACATACGTTTCTTTACCCCTCTCTCCTCTCTCTCCTCTCTCTCTCTCTCTCTCTCTCTGTGTTGATTGAAGCTGTAAGACAATGGCTTCTAGCATCAATCTTCCAAGCTTTCAAGGCCCTCTTCTCAAATCCAATTTTCTTGGAAGAAATGATCTCTCGAATCAAGCTCGTAAATCGTCTTTCGCAGTTCACAAGCAGCCATCGACGCACTCCCTGAGACCCTCTGCCAAATTTAACCTATCCGAAATCTTGGGAGGCAGGGGGCTCTGCAACGGTGAAGCAGGTCTACTGCAAGAGCTTACGAGAAATGTCGAAGAACAGAAAAATGTCGAAGAAGAACAAGTATCAGCAGCAGCTGCCGCCAAAACAGAGGAAGAAAAACCAGATGGTTCTGCAACAGCTGCGATCGAAAGTGTTGAAGATGGTTTTGATAAGGAGCTGATGGGACTTACCGGTGGATTTCCTGGTGGGGAAAAGGGGTTGCGAAAGTTCATTGAGAAAAACCCACCCCCCAAGAAGTCGTCGATTGCAATTTCCGGATCAACAGCAGCACTCGTGAGCACAAAGAAGCCGAAAGCACCTGAACTGCCATTGTTACTACCTGGTATGATTGCCATTGTCAACAACCCAAATAGTCCTTACTACATGTACTGTGGCATTGTTCAGCGAATCACCGATGGGAAAGCTGGGGTTCTTTTTGAGGGCGGGAATTGGGACAGGCTGATTACTTTCCGACTGGGAGAGCTCATGCGCAGAGACAAGGGCCCTCCGGGGAAAAATCCCAAATCCTGCGTCCTCGAACCTTTTCTCCAAAAGGATTCCTGAATGGGGACATTCTCTTAGTTTCTCTAACGCATGAGTATGAATTTAAATTTGAACTGTGCAGTACTGAAATTCGTAGCTTAAATGGCAATTACTTTCATTGCAAATTGCATGAACCAGGGAAAACACATCTTAAATCACATATTTATTGTTCAATGTGTTGCCTATTGCTATCGAATTCAGCGAGTAGGTTGTTCTTCAAACAATATATAAAGACGTCAAACTCTGGATACTTCCAGGTGCTTAAAAATTGTCAAAATAACATCCAACACATAGTCCTATGTTCTTGAAGCTCCACACAAGTTCAGAAGATGCCACCCAACTGCCAAAAGACGGTTACAACATATAAGTAAATGAATTGCAAGCCTAAAGGAAAGAGAGACAAGAAAATTAATTTCATGTTATTAGTGGTTCAAAATGGACTAGTACCCACCCCAAACTGATCAAGATCAGATGTTTAGTTCACACATTCGATACCTCATAACAAAACGTGAACATCAAGCAACGAATAATCTAGCCACTTAACGTGAGAATAAGAAATTATACTTATTTACTCCCCCTGACAATGTTTATTTTCAGCCATCATACATCTGGAAAGCCCACATCCAAAACTGGTCTACAAACTAAGATGCAGATTAACTTATAACTTTTCTGCATGAAATTTTTAGCTTCTAAACGGTTTACATGAATATAGCCTACCGCACTATTTCAGAAGCACTATCTAGTCAGACTTCCGGTTTCACTGCATTATGACTCGCACATCAAATGAATCACCATCCATCGTATAGCATAGCTTTCAGGCAAACAGAACTCGCCTATTAAACAGTGAGGAGGAATTTCCTCCGTACTGCTGGCTCAACATAAATTTATTTGCATGAATTGGGAAAAAGGGTGACTCCCACCACGTTCACCAATTCATTCAAATAAATATATGCCACATTAGTAGCCAGTCAATAGGTAATCATTATTCTTTTTCACCAAGCTGATTTTTTTTCTATGATTAGTAAAGAATAATGATTACATATCACGAGACAAGGGGAGCACTTAAGGCTGAAGAATTCATTGCAGGTATAGTTGATATATCAAATCAATAGTGTAGAAATTTTCACAGCAAAAGCACAAATTCCACATACCATAATGGCCTCAATCTCCTCTTTGGACAACGGTGTTCGTTCGGGTTGTTCAGAAGCTTTTCCTCCCAAGGTGGTTGAGGCCTTTGAACCGGAGAAGAAAGTGTGAGAAGAATCACCAGCCAAACCTTGAGTCTGAGGCTCAGTACCTGCAAGTAAACAATTACAAGTGTTAAACGGAAACAAATCATGACCCAACAAAAAAGAGTACGTGACTACCAGCATGAGGGCAAACAGTGAATGAACTTCTGATATTTTTCAACAAATGACCGCATGCTATCTCTCCAACACTTTGGGATTTCCCACTTGTTTCACCTACTTATCGATGCATCAGCAAGAAACTACCCAACGGACTAAAGATCAGGCTACTACGGATAAAATTGGATGTTGGATGCTGCATTACCACCACCACCACCCCCAACCTCAGAAAGTAAAATTCAAGACCTTAAACATTGTAGAACCAGCAGAAATTCAAAACGTGCATTCAGAAACTCCGCAATTGGCATCGTCAATGTCCGCGTCATCATCATAATCTAAGTGAAATAACTTCCTAATGGGATTTTAGCACCTACCCTAACCCTTAATTCAGCATTTGCCCGATGCAGCCAATCTGGACTGTTTCATGAACCCAAGCTCAAACAAGCAGAAAATTCAATCGAAAAATCGAGTCAGCCAATCTTAACAAACGATCCAATTGAAATCACACAGTAGTTTACAAAATTAGTCCTTTTTTTATGACATCACAAATCCAATCTATGCTTCAATTTAAATACAGAGAACGATAGATTTCTAAATTTACAAGAAAAGCACAGAAATTTGGGACATTCAAGAGAAACCCATTAAATTGGAGCATAAATACAGCTTAAATTCAAAAAAAAAAAAAAAAAAAAAAAAACGAACATGCATAAATAATTAAATTTATTAAGGATGAAAATCGAAACAATGGTTTGAGAAAAGGAAAAGAGAGACGGACCAGAAGGTTTTGGGTGTCTCTGAGGAAACTTGATGCGAGGTATCCTCTTCATCGCCTGGGCTCCACCCATCTCTCTCTCTCTCTCTCTCTCTCTTCTGTTGTACCAGTTCCTCCGGAGACGACGATTGAAAAAAAAGAGCGAGAATCTTCCACCAACGATTTGTTTGGCAACTCGGGGATGGACAGAAGTTGCGTACAAAGGTCAATTAGTTCAAGGGTGCGGGTTGCCGGGTCGGAAAGTGAATCTAAATCCTAATCCACGCTTTCACAAACTGGGTTGGGCTTGTGATCAAGTCCGGGTTCTATCGGGTTGTAAATAAGAATTTCATAACAGAATCAATATGACTACACGATAGATGATGAATCAACTTATGACTAATAGAAAATAAGCACGTTATCAATACTTAAATAATAATCCAATCGTTAACATCCATATCATTATTTATAAAATTTGATTTAGAAATTTGGCCTCCTTAGCATTATCTTTGCAAATATATGAATGGGACAAAGTGAGTTTTGCCATAGATCATGACATCTAATTGTTCTTATTTATTCATTAAATGATATGGATGCTTATGTGGATTTTAACTAAAATTAAAGATAAAATAAAACTGAAAAAAAAATATAAAGTTTGGAAAATTAAAACTAAAATTAAAAAAGGAAGCAACTTTAATTGAAATTGGTTCTCCCATTCCCATTTCGATCAAGATTTGGATTCAGACTTTGAACCTTAATAAAAAAAAAAAAAATCATTAACTGATGTGTTTTTTTCCAGACTTGGATTCAGGCTTCATCCTTTCCGTATTCTGGCTCTTGACAAATATTTTCCTCGTTCTATCGGTAATTTTAAAAGAACAAATTGAATGGGAATGCACAATATTATAGAGGTGATATTGGTATCACATAAGAGAAAATACATCTTACATCTTTGTGTTTTAAGACGAGAGATTCCATATTCTATGATCTTTTGAGAAACTTCGTTAGCAGTTCCCAGAGGTAGTAATTTTGAAGAACCGAAGTCAATTTTCTCAAATTATCAAAACCAAGCACACAACAAGGCTTGGAATTAGGTCAAATGAAATAACATGAACAAGGGTAATATATTCAACTTCATGTAATTACCATACAAATTAAAAACTTGATTATTATCTCGATTGTGACAGAAAATTAGCATCATTCTTCATGGTTGTTCGTTCTCTGAATCCTCTGATCAACAACATTCTTCATCATGGTGTAAAGAAACTATAAGATAATACGAGTTGGACTAAGAATATACACTCCTCAAATTGAATCTACAAGACTTGCACTAACAATAGCAATCAGTCAGAATATTTCTAGCTTTCTCACTTTACGATTTTGCATTCACACATTCTATTGCCAACACTCTTCCTATATTGCCATCTTCACGCCAAGATTCTCTCCTTTTTTATTTTTTTATTTTTTTTTATTTTTTAAAAACCGCATCATGTTAAGTTATTAAATCTAAACTTAAGGGTTTCAATCCATCAATTGTCACTTAATTTCTCCGTTTCCCTCCAAAATTTCAAGCAGATGTGTCATGACATTGACATCCCAGTCGAAAAGTAGAAAAACCCCTTTAAAAGCGTCAACTTCGACGAGAAACGAAAAGAAGGAAACTTGGGAGTTGGGATTAAAAAAGATGAGTCATTTTTCAATGGAAACCCAAGAAACTGAAGGTGGTAACTGGTAAATTACAAAAACAAAAACCCCAAATCGAGAAAACTCCAAGAGCACGATCGCATTCAGTTACAATGCTTGCAATGAGAACCCAAATTCTGAAAACAAGAATGAAACAGAATCATCACCAAGTCTTTTCTTTAAGTCTAAAGTTTTATGATCGGATTAAACTCGCATGGCATTATTCAAATTGGTAAAAACCAAGAAATTAAACCATAAACAAGAAACGCAATCGCATTCAAAAGATTGACTGACCGGAAGACGACAATTGAGTCGCATTTTCTTGAGGTTTGATATTTATCGTCGTCTTCTTGTTGGCTTTGTAGTCTTTGGCTTCGTTCGTACTTTGTTGCTTTCTTACTTAAAACCCTAGAACATAAGTTCGAGTTCAATTGAAACACATGAACTGGCAAAACTAATTTATTTATTTATTTTTTTGCAAAACCCAATTTAATCACCCCACACATATAAACAATAGTATAGAATTTAGGGTTTCGTTTTGCTTACCTAATGAAGATTCAAGAGAATAATAACTTGACTCCTAATAGAAGGCATCAGAATTTCATATCAATCCAAGACATGAAATTGCAAAACCACATCAGCAAAGGGGGAGACAGAGGACTAAGTACAACTAGGGTTTATTCCTTTTTTTAATTTTAGTTTTAATTTTCCAGATTTTATTTTATTTTTTTTAGTTTTATTTTATCTTTAATATTAGTTAAAATTCACACAAACATCCATGTCATTTAATGAATAAATAAGAACCATTGGATGTCATGTAATCAAAAGGCTTAAAAAGAGTGTAAAAGTATTTGTAAAAATATTTGTCCCTTGATATTATTCACCGTATCGATTACGTTGAGAATACAAAAGTTGCATTGTGTGAGTTGCATTTTGTGGGCCAGTTAAAAAGTTTTGATATGAATAAAAATATTTGAGAATCCCGACCAATAGTACTTATGGGAGATATCAAATATCAGTCAACATTATCAATGTTTACCTTTAATTTTTATACCCCACAAAATCCATTCATTAAATCATTTTATACATCAAATATTTAATGACGAAATTAATATTTACTAAATTATTATGCGTCAATTGAATGAATAAATCTTTTGTATTGACGAAGATGGGTATAACCGTTAACTGATGGGGAATCCGTTACCCGGTGAGTATAGTTATAGATAATATCCGATGGTTAATTAGCGGTTATGGATATGGTTAATTTTCGTGGTTATGTGGATAAATATAGCATTTTCGTTCCCAAACCGAACCGTTGACATCTCTAACCACAATATGTTATTGATGAATGAGTTATATGAAAGCAACCAGTGTGAAAATTATGGGGGAATGACTTAGCTATCTTGAGATTACATATCAACTTAAGAAGAAAGAAAAAGTAATTTGTTTTGTAATGCATAGTGATTAATGCACTAAACTTCATAAATTATCGCTTATGATTAGTAATATTTTAAGGTATATGGAAAGATTGAAGTTCTTTCCACAAGTACCTTAAATGTAGGGGAGTGTACCCAAATGTTAGTAAAGCAAATTACTTAGTAAGTTTGAACATATGTTCACTACAAGAAAACATGGTATAGGTGAGGACTTTTGAGGACTTTTGAAAAATAAGTGATGCTCAGAAATTCAGCACATTTAGATAAAATAAGTGAGGACTTTTGAAAAATCGTCACATAAAGATTTTTGTAGGACACAATTTTTTATTAAGCTTCTACTCATCACATAAGAATCTTAAACTTGTCACAAAGTCTTATACGGGAAATTTTACCTCCCATTGAATAATGAATAAGTAATGAAAATACATAATTGGTCACATAACATTAAAGAAAGCAACATAAATACATGTGAGGATAGGCCGTGTGTCACCTATTGTATTAAAATTAAAAATAAATAAAATAAAATAAAACCTAATCAAATTAAAACCCAAAATCGTAGATCTGATATGTTCTGCTCTCTCACGATCTCACCCCCTCCTTCATTTCTGGACTGTTCAGTTTCCTATCGACCCTGACGACCAACCAACTAGTGGTTTGCCACCGACGGCGTCCACCACCTCTCGTTCGTCTCCCTCTCTCACCCACTCTCACCCACTCTCTAACCCCTTGCGCCTCGCTCATCACTATCTCCTCTCTCTCACACCTAGCACGAAGATTGGGGAAAGAAAAATCTTTGGTTATTCTGCTTTCTTACCTTAGTCGAATTCTCCATCAATTTCTCTCTTCATCTCACTAATTCCTTTCTCTCTGCAGCGGTCTCTCTCTAAAAGCGGTTGGAACATTTTCGAACTCTGATTTTCAGGTGTGCTTTATATTTTTCTTATTTCGATCAATTTCTCGATCTTTGATTTTGGTTTTTTTTTTTCTTCTAATTTTTACTTTGTTTTTATTTTGATTTCAATTTGTGAACTCGAACTTCTACGTTGAAAATTTTGGTTTTTAGGTTTATGATTTAGAATTCGAGGTTGGGAATTAGGGTTGCAATTTGGGGATTCTATTTGGGCTTGAAATTTCTGAAAAAAATGCAATTCTATCATGTATTTCAATTTTTCCCGTTTCGATTCAGGATTAGTAAAAGAGCCACATAAGTTAAGTGTGTGAAGTGATTGTGTTGAATGAGTAAAGATGCAGTAATAGCAAGCAGGTTCGTGGGTTGTCTGTGATTTTGTGGGCTGTTGTTTTCTTAATCTCGATTGATTGCAGGTTTGCTGATAAATTGCAAATTAATTATACATGCTTGCTTCCTATGTATTTTGTAAAATAATGGTGCGATGTCTCTGTTACGTTGTTGTGTTTTGTTTGAATTTTGTAGAAGCTGAAAGGTTGTTTGATGGTATGCTTATCCAAGACGTGCTTCCCATCTCTTCCCATAGAGCTCTAGCCTTTGATAAGGCCTAGGTAACTTTTTCACTAACTTGAGATTAAGTCCTATTAATTTTTCAAGTATTATAATTTTCCTATACATAATTGTTGTCCTTAGCTTGCTTCTATGAATAATTTGTGCTTTTGCTTTCGACGGGGTATGATTGTTGTGCTTTTGCTTGTTGATGATGATTTTTCTTGAACTTGGTGTTGTAGAAATCTTATGAAAATTTACAAGGATTAAAGCAAGTGTTGAGCCATAAGTAATGTTTATACGAATTTGAGCTCTTAGATTATATAATAACAGTCCAAATAGCTGGGGTTGCATCTCCAACCCCACAATTAGCATGAATGAATTTCTTCTTCTTCGTTAAATTTTAGGTAATACTTTTCAGTTATAGGTTGATACCTAGTTGGCTGAAATCTCTCGCTGTTATTTTCAGTTACAAATTTAATATTTACCTCACTTACCTTGGATTTTGAGCTCTTAGAAGTTGTTAATCAAAATCTCAATGCACCTGCTATTCTCTAGACACCAATGTTTATTTTCTTCTCTTTTATTATGTAAGGATAAGATAAAGAAAAAGAAGGATGGAGTTAAAAGGAGAAAGTATTCAAGAAGCACCTGAGATAGTGATGGTGATCTAAATGACAATGGTACTTGTGCTGAAGTAAAGACCATGATATGGCTGATGACTTATATTATGTATTTTGTTGTTGGTTTCAAACATGCACACGGTATACTTGTTTTGTTACTGACTCAATGCCTTAGAATCTTGTTAGCATCTCAATATGTTTAGAGGTGTTAGGATGCTTATGTTAGCTTTTGAGATATACACTTAGTGTATGTATTGGATATAACCTAACTTATTGATCAATGAAATGTGATTAACCAAAGTATTGCCTCATATTTGTTATGAAATGTGTATGTATCCCAGGGTGTAACCTAACTTATTGACGCTTTCATCTCACTTATCATCAGCTATAGCATTATAGGGTCAGATTGGGTGATGATAAATTCCTCATTTATACATTTGTTATGTGAAAAACTAATAGGTCATTGAATTCTGTGTTTTGTGACGCTTATTATGTCACAGTTAAAGTTATTAAGTGACGAATTTGACATCACAAATACTAAAAATATGTGGTGAATCAAAAAGTCGTCACTAAACTATAGGTGACTTAGTATATGTGACGAAAATAGTGACGTTGGATTTTCGTCACATATAATCAAATGGGACGAATTGTCATGTTTATGCGACGAATGTTTGTCGCCACCTAAGCCATATTTTCTTGTAGTGGTTTCAAGGAGCATATGTATCAAGGATTTAATGTGGGAAGATAACTACTCTCGAATGAAATCTAATTTCATAACATACCATAAGAAACAGTCAACCTAATGGATCTAATTATTAAAAGATTGATTAGAGAGTAAGTTGTATCATCGAGGGGAATGAGTTAAAAAACCATAATCAGAGTAGTCATAGTGGAAACCCAACCTAGCACTGTGGAGATGTACTCTCTTACCCATGTCCCGTGATATACTAGTGCTGCCTGCCATTAAGATTAGGTTAAGCTTTAATTTTTTAATGATTCCTATAACTTGAAAGACTTAGAAGTCCAAGTGGAGTATTGCAGGATACTCTTAATGGGAAGTCACCTATCTTGAGTGATCGATGGGGTCGTTCCTATGAGAATTTTGTAAAAGGCTTATGTGAAATCCCATCCCCCGATTTCATTATTTAAGTACGTATTTAAGTCATTTTATTTTTATTTTTGTTTTCATTAATTTTAGAGTTTTAGTTATTTGATTACAAAGTTTGAACTTTTGTAAATAGTCATTTAAAATCCGTAAACCTTTCCGGGTCACATTTCATGTTTCGAATAGAGCTCAATTCCACGAATGAGTGGATGAAAACTATTTGCGAATTGGAGTTACAACGAAGAAGTTACGAGCAACGAAAGTCAAACCTAAATTGTAATCTAGGGACTTACTATAAATAGCAAGTCCCATTTAGTGGGACAACAGCCAATCCTGTGTAAGACAACTGGACTTATGCGACTCGTTTTAACCCCATGAATCGATTTCTTTCACTCGGACTTGAGCCCCTGCAAGTATTTCAGACGCCAATTTCAATGATCCTTGACTGCGCCGATCTTAGCCACCACTTCTAGTTAACACCCTACCTTACCCCAAGTAAAACCTGCCCAATGTTTACACCGTTTGACCACCGTACGAGGCGTATTGACCGCACGAAGTTGGAGGACCAACGAACGGTGATCTTGCCGTCCCGTTGTTAACGCTGTCAACCACCACCACCCCTGAGAAGCTCTTGACGTCTGGAGGAAAACCTTAGCCTTGGATGAGACGTTCGTGTAGCGACGGCAGCACTGTGGCGCATCGATTCCTCCAACCACATTCTTGGATTTCGTCACAAGTATGAAAATTGTTCCTTATACTTGGATCCACTTGCCTAAAAAATTTGGTGTAAATCGAAGTTGGTCAAAAAACTGAGTTTCTATTCACCAAAAACCGTAGCGTGGCTAACGGGCCAACTTTGTCCTTCTAGGAAAATTTCAATGTCCTAAGCCTTTATTCAAGGTTCGCTTGTTGGAACTTGATATGATGGTTCGATTATTCGAATTATGAGGCAATTATACTAGCATTCGGTTTTTTTAATTGACGCCAATCCGACTGTTGGATTGTCATTAAATTTAATAAGCATGCTAGTTATCAATTGACGGACCTTTAAGAAATTGTGGAACAGAAAACCCTGTGCTCATACCTTTTAGATTGAAGAATCTTAGATTATTGACATTCGTAGTAGATGAAAATTTGATCATTAGATTGTCACAAAATTATATTATGTGGTTATATGTAATATTTGAGGATCTTAGGAATTCATGAATCGGAAATCCGATGTATAGATCTTTCAGATTGAATTACGTAGGATTATTGACTATTCGTTAACCACATTGACCAGGAGTTGACTTTTGGTCAAAATGTACCGAATTGGAATGAATGTCTTATAATCAAACACGAGGTAAATATAAATCAACAACCAAATAGAAATTCGTAAAAATTGGAAAGAATAAAAATGCACATAGCATTTCGAACTCGGGACCTCTTTAATTTAAAAAAAAAAAAAAAAACAAACAGAAACAATCATTTTTGGTTAAACTTCTTAATCATTTGATCAACTTTTATAAATTTATACTCTTATGGACATAAATTCATAAAAATTGGAAAGTAAAAAAAATGCACATAGAGTTTTGAGTCAAGACCTTCTTGTAAATTTAAAAAGCAAAAACCAGCACTTCTAGTTAAACTGCTTGATCATTTGACCAAATTTTACAAATTTATACTCTTATGAAAAGGAATTCGTAAAAACTAGAAAAAAATTAAAAAGTCAATAAACGCACCTAACGTTTTAGACCCGAGACTTCCTCTTTAATTTTAAAGAGTAGAAACCACCACTCTAATTTTTTTGGGACCCTGGATAGCAGCCCAACCTGCCTTGGGCCAGAGCCAACCCTAGTTAAAATTTGGGCCATGGTTTAATGTAGCTAGAAAGGGTTGGCATTCAGCTTTTTGGTTCAACTAATTAGTTCGTAGCCTTAACCCATTTGAACCTAACTGAGTTAGTTGAAAATTTACTTGGAAATTGTTTTAGCATGCAATAGTCTACGGGTTCATTTGAAAGACTTTTAAAATGACTTACACCGCTTTTGCCGAAAATGTTTTTTGTGTTCCAAAAGCATTTAAAGTGCTTTCTGTAAGAAGCATCAATTACTTCTCATAGGAAGCATTTTAAGTAATTTTTCAAGATTTACTTGCATTTTTACTAAGGATTGGTTTCAAAAATATTTTTCACTAAAAGCGCCATCAGCCATTTTAAAAGTACTTCCAAATGAGCTTTGCATGTGATCCTCGGCTCCACATGTACTGATCACATTTTTGACCTTTGCACGTATGAAACTTGTTGTCATTAGGATTCATTGGTTTTTAACACTGTTCTAAAAATCCCTGCATAGGCTCAATTTAGGCGCTAGGCGGCTGGCCACCACCTCCATAAATGCTTAGGTGTTTGAAAATTAATAAATAGCGGTTAAACCTGCTGAGGTACCCGTCTAGGCACCCGCCTAGGTCGCGGCCCACTTAGAGACTGAAAATTGATACTTTCATTTTGCAATTTTTTTTCAATACATTGTAAAAAACTTGTTGCATACTTAAATGAACACACATTATATCCTGGTTGCCCATGTTTCATTATATTCTAATACTTCATAATATATATGTCATTCTATTTTGTAGTTTATGATGAAATTATATAATTTAAGTATAAGCAGACACTTATTTACACAAAATATAATAGATTTACTTAAATCCGCCTAGGCTTCGCCTAGTTGTCTAAGTGCTAGGCCCCAGCCAACTGCCCGACTAGTGCCTAGCGTATTTTAGAACCTTGGTTTTTCAAAATTTCACTTGTCTTGAAACCTGGTAAACGAGTCGTGTGTTTTTTTGTTCGTGCCGTTTTTGTGTCATATTCGTTATCTTAGCAGATTATATCGTGTCAAACCCATTATCTTAATGGATTCTTAATAGGTGACCCGATAACGACCCAACTCGTTAACGGGTTGTGTCGTTCATGTCGGGTTAATAGGTTATGCAAGAAATTGCATGCCTAATGTCTAGACTTGACAAATGGATCGTATTGGTGTTGTTTATGTGTCATACCTGTTATCTTGACAAGTTTTTAACATGTGACCTGATAATGACACAACTCGTTAATGAGTTGTGATAGGATTCTTACCACCTACAAAAGTAGGGGTAAAAAAAAAAAAACTTAAAATACTTGCAAGAGTATAAGGTAATTGTAGTATAAATGGCTCTAATAAGGTTGTTCTCCACATGAATTGGATGAATAATTTACATAAAAACCAAATCTTAATTAATTATTTAAAACAAAGTTTGACAAAATGTTGATTTTGTGATCTAAAAATATTAAAAATGAATTTAATTAAAAACAATTAAATAAATTGAGAAAGTAAACAAAAGAAAATAAAATAGTTTTGAAAATCTATTTAAGCACTAGGGTTCCGCCGTCACCTTAACAATCCTACGTAATTCTTCAAATTACTTACGAATTATACATGCATATTTTGAAAGTTAGATTTTCCTAAAGTATGCCTACTTGGACCCCTAACATAGAGCGTATATCAAACATGCAACCCGTTTGCGGTATTCATATCAAATCTAAACATGCATGACTCATTAAGTTTTATGAAAACCATTTGAAAAACCATACAACCCTTAAGATGTGGTATTCATCTTAAGTGAACTTGCACTTATTAACCACAAGAAGGCTTCATCAATTTCAGAGACAGCCCTCCACCAAAATTGCATCAAATTACTTTTCTAAACATCCGAATGGTAGCTAAGCATTAAGACAATTAGAGAGTATAACCGGTGATTAATAATTCAAACCTACATGCATAATATCACAAGCAAATTGAAAAGAAACTACATATTCTTGCTAAGTCTTGTGACCTCGCCCTAGCAAAAAGAAATTAGTTACGAACAATCATAAAACAAAATATTATTAAAAATAAGGATAGAAAACACCTTGATAGAGAAACACAAATCGTCAAAGCCTAGCAAAATTTTGATGTGTTCCTCCCCTTCTCTCCTTGAACCCTAATGGCTAAATAGCCTTATTTATACTACTAGAAAATAAAATCATTACTAGAAAAGTTCTTCTAAAAACTAGGAAACATAATAACTTAAGAGAAATTAGGAAACAGAATCTTAATCAAATATGGGAAATCTGTCCAGCCACAAATCAACCACATTTCTGGACCTTTAGGGCTTCAAAACAAGCGTAAAACCATTTGAA